ATCTGGCATTTAGCCAAAGTCAAACCATCACAGTTTATTCTGGTGCCCAATGTGGGGTAAAACAACAGCAGTTTTATATTAAATGTGCTGTAGTTGTTAAGCAACAAGCTCTTGTGCTGGTCACAGGCTTGTTTGTTGCGCTGCTCATCTTTATTTTGTTAAGCTCAGGAACATGCTGCAAGGAATTCGGAACACCATGAGTGGTTTTATTTTGCAGGCTCCCGAGGTACTCAGTCATCCTTATGTTAGCTCATTGATACTCTTTGTTAATGCTGTTTGCCTGTTGTGGGTTGTATGGAGTTCAGTATGGTTTTGGTGTAAGAGAAGGCAAATTTTGAGTGAGTCGGTACCAAAATGTGCCCTGAGGCGGCCTGTTCCTGGGTGGCAGGGAGAGTGGAAGGAATTGGGCAGATTCCCAGGACGGTTATCACATCCTGTAGCCTGGGATCTTCCCTGAACAGGCAAGCAACCCCACAAAACTGACACATCACCTGACAGAGGGGTGCCTTGCCTATCCCAATGAGAATCAGCAACTTCTAGCACTGTACTGGGGCCTGGCCTGTGCTTACCGAGCTGCAGTTCAGCACTCTCAAAGGACTGTGGCTGACATGGGAACTCAAACAATAACAACAGGGATTGCCCCAGTAGTAAAAAATAAACAGTGATCAAGGAGAACAACAGGCCCATACCCTCGATTAATAAGGGAGGAGAAAGAAGAGGAAGAAGCTGTTCCTTCAGCAAAGGTATTGGAAGAGGGAATAACAGAACTGAAACAGGAGGCAGAAACTACCCGGTCCCTGACGTCATCAGAACTGCGAGATCTGCGGAAAGACTATTGCCGCCAGCCGGGTGAGCGGATCGCTGCCTGGCTGCTGCGATGCTGGGATAATGGGGCAGATGCTCAGCAACTGGAGGGTAAGGAAGCCCAACAGCTGGGTTCCCTTGCTAGAACTTGAGGAATTGAAAGGAGAATTGGAAAAGAGACAGCAATTTGCAGTCTGTGGAGACGGCTCCTTTCAAGTGTTAAAGCAAGGTATCCTTTCAAGGAAGATCTTATGGACAACACCCCAGGGAAGTAGACTACTGCAGATGAAGGTGTCCAGTACCTGAGAGAATTAGCAGTGCTGGAAGTCATCTATGGTGATCCAGATAATGGTGAAGCCCCTAAAAATCCAGAGGATGTCCTATGCACATGGGCCATGTGGAGGAAGGTGATTAAAGGTGCGCCATCCTTGTATTCTGCCGGCTTGGCCGCGATGTACTACCCAGAAATGGATGCAGGAGAAGGACTAAGATGTACGCCAACTGTGGAGGCAGTCTCTTCCTGGCTTCAGAACTTTGAAGAGAGTCTTGGTACCTCCTCATCTCTACGGGCGAGTGCCCTGGATGTTAGGAGCTCCCCAAGAAAGTTCTCTTCTAACCCAGTCAGGGGGAAAGGGAAGCCAAGGCGCATGACACGTGTCGCGCTCTTGTTCTTCCTGTGCGACCAGGGGAAGGACATGAGGAAGTGGGATGGTCAACCCACCTTTAAGTTGGAAGCACGTGTACATGAATTGTGAGGACAGACCCCTGCCAAGAAGAATACATCCAAAGAAGGCTGTTAATGTAGCTGGTGTAAAACCACGAGAAAGTAACCGGTGATCATCCAGATATAGGAAGACTGAGATCACCTCCCTTGACCCTGAAGAAGGAACCTCCGGCCTGGCACGTCAAGAGTCAGACAGCAAATACTCCGACCAAGAACGGGAATAGAGGGCCCCTGCCTCCAGCCAGGAGGAGGAAAGGGATGATCGGGTGTATTGACAGTGTGGATTCGATGGCCTGGCACATTGAATCCACAGAAGTACCAGGCTTTAATTGACACAGGGGCACAGTGTACACTAATGCCATCAAGTTATAGAGGGGCAGAACCTATCTGGATCTCAGGAGTGACAGGGGGCTGTCAAGAACTATCAGTACTGGAGGCCGAGGTTAGCTTGACTGGGGACAAGTGGGAAAAACATCCCATTGTAACTGTCCCAGAAGCCCCTTGTCTCTTGGGCATGTTCTATCTCAAGAGGGGATACTTCAAAGAGCCAAAAGGATACAGATGGGCTTTTGGTGTGGCCAGTGTGAATACAGAAATGGTAAAACAGTTGTCTAATTTGCCTGGCCTCTCAGAAGATCTTTTTGTTGTGGCACTGTTGCAAGTTGAAGAACAACAGGTGCCAATTGCCATGAGGACTGTGCACCGACGCAGTATCGTACAAACCGAGACTCTCTGGCTCCCATTCAAGAACTGATTCGTCAACTGGAGAGCCAAGGTGTCATCAGTAAGACACATTTGCCTTTTAATAGCCCAATATGGCTGGTGCTAAAGTCTGAAGGAGGGTGGAGGTTAACAGTAGACTATCGTGGCCTTAATGAAGTGACGGCACCACTGAGTGCTGCTGTACCAAATATGTTAGAGCTCCAGTATGAACTGGAGTTAAGGGCAGCCAAGTAGTACACCACAGTCGACATTGCCAATGCATTCTTTTCAATTCCTTTGGCAGAAGAGTGCAGGCCACAGTTTGCTTTCACCTGGAGGGGTGTCCAGTACACCTGGAATCGACTGCCCCAGGGGTGGAAGCACAGCCCCACTCTTTGTCACGGACTGATTCAAACTGCACTGGAAAAGGGTGATGCCCCTGAACATCTACAATACATTGATGACATTGTGTGGGGCAATGAGGCAGGAGAAGTGTTCAAGAAAGGACAAAGAGTAATTGAGATTTTCTGAGCTGGGTTTGCCATAAAGAAAAGCAAGGTCAAGGGACCAGCGCAAGAGATTCAGTTCTTTGGAATAAAATGGCAAGATGGATGCCATCATGTGCCATTGGATGTTGTCCACAAGATAGCAACTATGTCTCCACCAACCAAATAGAAGGAAACACAAGCTTTTCTAGGACTTGTGGGATTTTGGAGGATGCATATTCCAGGTTATAGTCAGCTTGTGAGCCCTCTCAAGTGACCCGAAAGAACAATTTTGAGTGGGGTCCTGAGCAACAACAAGCCTTTGAGCACATCAAACAGGAGATAGCTTGGGCGTTAGCTCTTGGGCCTGTTCAGACAGGACCAGCTGTGCAAAATATACTTTACACATCAACTGGGGAGCATGGCCTCACATGGAGCCTCTGGCAGAAGATACCAGGTGAAACTCGAGGTTGACCATGAGGATTTTGGAGCCGGGGATATCGAGGATCAGAAGCCCACTACTCTCCAACTGGAAAGGAGATACTGGCAGCATATGAGGGGATTCGAGCTGCTTCAGAAGTTGTTGGTACA